AGCACGAAGTAGCTAGCACGAACAAACGATATGTTAGCTAAAAACTTTTTTACTAAGTATGTCCCGTCCATGAGAACTACACCATTCGACTCAGAATTTAATTCTGCATCGAATGGTGATACGTTTATTCGCCGGACAAACTTTGGAAAAATTCTATCTGGATTATAAATAGACATAAAGGAAACGAACAAAGATATAGATAGAAAATTTTCCAAAGTTTGTCCGGCGAATAAAAGTACCATCATTCGATGCAGAATTAAATTCTGAGTCGAATGGTGTAGTTTTCATGGGCGGGACATACTTAGTAAAAAAGTTTTTAGCTAACATATCGTTTGTTCGTGCTAGCTCCTTCGTGCTAGCTTCACAATGATGTTCACTTTTACTTCTTCAGCATAATTATGAATGCTCTCGAATCACTGTAGAGTTTTGAAAGAAAATGCTAACAGCTATAATATCCAAATATGTAATTAATTGCATAAACGGCTAGTGCCAGTCGATAAATAAGAGCATATAGTAGCGAATGGATAGATCATATATAAATGTGCCTATAACCTGCCAAAAATGTAAAATGAGACCTAGTGAGGATAAGTCAGTTCCTGTCAAAGAACTGGTGGGTACAGATCAGTTCCGTTCAAAAGAACTCTTACATAGTTCCCATGATTGGAACTAATATGGAATTGTCCAAGGCCTATATGGTGCTAGATAAGAATACTAATGTGTGAAAAGTTTGTTTTAGAGCCTTCAGGGTTCTGATTCAGAAGATTTGGGTGGTGGATGTTTTAGTAAAAATCTTTTGGGCCGGTTGTGGAAAAGGTTTTATACGAAATCTATGATACGAAACCTTTTGTGACCATTTTGTAAAATGGTTTTGTACGAAACCCTTAGTACGGAGCCTTTGGTCTCCTTCCTACGAAATGGTTTTGTACAGAACCTTTTGTACGAAACTTTTTTTCTACGGAACTTATAAATGGTTTCGATTTTGTGCCCGAGGGAAGATCCTTTTTTAGTTTCGTAGTGTACCTTTTTTTTTTAGAGTGTAGCTCCAATTGTTTCTACTGCAGCTGAACTCGCAGGAGAAAAATTCGATGATATGTCAGATGCCATTGACGTTATCTTTTTCTCCTAACATATTATTTAAATTATCACATCAGCTAGACGGCATCAAACATGCCCTTTTATTTTTCTTCTCCAATTTCAGTGCAAGAGCGTTACTACCACGACGCGCTTCGATCGCATCAAAAGATCTTTACGAGTGTCTCGCTTATATGAATTGTACGAGAGATTGAAATCTAGTACGATTTATATCAGTTCTAGAATGCTTCAAAAGTTTGATGTTAACTAGTTCGACTTAAAACGCCCTTTGAAGTCAGGGGGATGTAGGGCAGATCAAAACGTTGGTATCAGTTAGGACGGATATTAATATTCTGATGTGTCGAGAGTGGGTGTAAGTGTTTGTATAACTAGGTATTGGCCAAACGCTTATAATCTTACTCTTAGGCTCGCCCAAACGCCCACATCTACACCCATCCGACATATTATTACTGTCCATATAGACAGTTTATAAACATCTCTTAATGATTAGTTCTGCCTAGTAGTTCATCACACCTTCTGTTTGTTTCACATAAAAAAATCTGAAAGGTTCCATTTTGAAACAGGAGGCTGTGTTTGCGACTCCTCCAGATCTACCAGTATAATAATGGTTGGCTAAGGAGCTCCAGAAGACAGTCGGTCAATGTATGATCTTCGCATATGTCCTTTTCCACGTAATATCACGTTTCTTTCATCCGGTTTTAGACGAGCAAGAAATGCTTTACGTTGGTAAATGAATGCTGGATTCTTAACTAAAAACAAGGCAAGATGCCATTTACGTTTTGACTTGGATAGTTTTGTTGTTGATACAGGATCGACTGTGTATCGGAGAAGGTGACTAGCAAAACAAAGTAAAATGGGATGTCGGTGAGCACATTCCATATGAATAAATCCACAATATGTACTAAAGCCATCATCTAGCTTTTCAAGTTTTCGACCTAACGGAGAGTAATCGAGTCGACACATGTAAATTGTTCCGCCGATAGCACTTTTTACAATACGAAGTGTTGCCGTAATAGAAGCAAGAAAAGCATCAAAAAACAAATTAAAGTATAGAAAAATCATCAGCATACGTCGATTATTGATTGATAATACATCACCTGCACGTTGAAGAAATACGTATCGAGACAACATTCTGTCCAAATAGATTTTAAAAACAATCAAAAGCGATATAGGAATGACCATCTTAAGGATAAATTCGATAAACCTCATGCTGCCATATGTAATGTACACTTCAACTAGAAATGTAATAATCAAAATCAACTGAGCTACAAGCACATAATTCCACAAAACATAACCAATGAGGGTACCAGCAAAATGAAAATTTTCAATACCATGATCAATATTATTCTCAGGCAAAGCTCGCGGAATCTCACAGTCATCTCCTCGAAACGTCTGCAGTAAGTTTCGACGAATAGACGCAAGCAAGATGAGTAGCTGTACAACAGTAGCAAAGAGAGCAGCTGAAATGGCAATTATAAAAGGCCGAATAAACTGTGGAATGGTAAAGGTAGGAGAATCTTCATTACTCTGCGTCGAATAATAATTTACTGATTTCGTAGAACTGTTTATGGAGTCGACTAAATGTTGGACCCGTTTCCGTAGTTCATGGACCCACGGAGAGGCTCGAAAGCATGCCTGAAAGCAAAGGTTCAGCGTAACAAATTAAATTACATTCAAAAAATATCATTTAATTTCATAAAAGAACCTCTAGATGTCTAACTTTTCTTTAGAATCGTCTGAGAATACAATCCTTCTTTTCATTATATAGAATTAAATTCGTCCTCTTTTTTTAGTACCCGCTGGCAAATTACCTCCATAGTCAAGAAGAAAAGTAGAAGAAAGATTGCTGCATAAACGCAAAGGATACGCGATGAAAATCGAAAATCATTTCGCCACGTATAAATGCGTCGAATGTTCATTGTAAATCGGTTGCTTGGTCGATTTTCATTTTGACTTCTAGATAAGTTTTTTATATATTGTGATTCCGTTGAATAAGGTAATGATGAGTGTAGAAGAATTTTTTGCTCGCTGCTTAATTGTTTGTTTCTAACATCTTTGCGGTAAAGTTGTTTGAAAAATAATACAGGCAGTTTAATGCTGACGTAGGCAAGCAGTAAATAACGAGGAATATCGGCACAGACTTGGAAAGAAAGTAACTTTGAACCAGTACCATAGTAATTTAGGTAAAGCGCAATATTATTTTGTACTGCATCATCATCGGTAGAATAATAATCATTGCGGCATAAATTGTTATCAATGATGGTAACACCGAAGAGAAGCCATGCATATAAAGTAGCGCATGCTAAACTTAATCGAGTGTGAATGTAATTGGCGGCCAGAAGTGGATAGCATCGACAGCCGATGACAAATACTTTTATTATATCGAGAACATACTCCACTATGACACCTATTAAAAAGAGAGAAACTAGTCGCCAAGAAATAAGCACATCATAATGAAAATCGCATGAAACTATGTTCAGTAGCTGTTCTTTACAAAAAGCATCGGAAAGATGCACTGTTTGAGAAAGCGCTAGTACAGTTCATAGAAATAGCTTCGATCGTTAACGAAAGCTAATCAATAAGACTTTTATCGACTAAGTTTATTCGACAGAGATCCACAGAATGGACATGATCTGGGTAATTATATGGTCTCTCAAACTACAATTAATATTGATGTCTGTAGGTCCTTGATGTTGTAGTGAAAAAAACATTTTTTGAAAACAATCACTGACAAACCTTCATCTTCTAGTGGATTAAAGCGAGCACTTAACAATTCATAAGCAATGTCTAATAATTCATCGGCGAAAATTGCGAACATCACTGCAGTAAATCTTGGTTTGACATGAGAAAAGAAATCGACAGGTATTGGTAGAGCAAAATATCCATTACATTTGTCTCTTTGCAGTGCTACCCGTTTTGTTGTGATGGCAAATATTATAATTAATAAACAAGCGACGGGAAATGTAATATTAAATTGACTATCAAAAATAATTTTAGAACATAAAGAATGTTTTTCGAAAAGCAAAGTTTTTCCATGTTCAAATTTATTAACAGCTTCATGATGAATCGACTTTAAGAGGATCCATTTAATAATAAGCGTACCAGTACCTAGTAGAATCGTACCAATAACAATGATTCGTGAGCCAAATGATCGAGATTGGTTCGTTAATGTAGATCGAGTGATCACAGAATCTTCAACGATTATCGGAATATTTTGGCTGAAATATAGGTATGAGCAAACAAAATTTTGAAAAACACAGATCGTACTTCACTTCGTCTGTTGAAGGCGTTGTGCGCTTTTTAATGCTGTAATGAAATAACTTCAACCCATAGAAAAGTGCCATCAGGAAGGCTAACATCACGCCAAATGCAATAACCTGTTTGCCGCTACTGGTCTCTGCGAAAAATGACAAGTATAAAAAAAGTTGATAAACGATCAGAGCGCCTGATTCAAACTACATCAAATTTCTGAAAACTTTTTCGTATGACCCTAAGACCTCGACTTCCCGATATATTCTGGAGCTGATGTTTGGATTGTAGAATAGAGCAAACTTCTTTCCGTCGAGCCATGTCATTTTCATGGGAAAATAACAAGATTGAAGCGAGTAGTGACCGCAACAAGTGGATCTACTTTGAAATTTTTTTCGTTCTGTTACTATTACCGCCCCATCAGCACAGCTAAAGTGCATGAGATGATCGAAAGAAGTCTATGTTGGGTATATAGATCGCTACCCTCGTTGATAAAAACCGCATCATCAGATGTGCTTCATCGAGCTCCATCGACTGATGAGCTTTTCATTTCGATTAAACCTACCCTTGATAGTATTTTAGACGCTTTTATCAACTTTTTCGTGAAATGTGATGAAGCGACCTGTACTAATTCTATCACGGCAGCTTTTTCTCTATCGTTATGCCACCCCACACTACAAAATACACGGAAAGTTTTTGAAGATCAGAAAAAAAGATACTCGCGCTACCCGAAGTACGGAGTTTCGCAAAGCATTCGATAGGACAAACATGAACAAAGTCAAGAGCTATCGAATGACATGTAGAGTGGCAATGTTTCACGGCTGAGTATCATATATTTTTTGTTTGTCCCAACATGGACGTTTTATATCGAGCTTTTCGCCAGCAAAAGTCCAACTACTTAATTTTTAAACTATGTGACAGACCTTTCTTTCTGTTGAATGCGAACCAAAACTAGCACTCGAAGCGAGAGCGGTACCACAGTGTCAACAAAAAGCTGGTTCTTATCGTATTAATACACTTTTCCTTTTTTTTATTGGATTTATCTGTTAAGAGGTTCCTACAATTATGGGACAACTGCTTTTTCAGACAAACATATTCATTACGCCTTTGATAATTTGACTTTTGTCTCATGACCAACGTGCTGAGTATAGAGACGAATACAAATGTGCAGAGAATTATTTTTCGAAAGTAGCGCACACAAATAAGTATCGTTTTGAGAATTTGCCGCTCTGTGCAATCTAAAAAATAGGAGCCCTGCTAAACCCTCCAAAAAGGTTTAGAATTTTGTAAAAAGCTCTAAATGCTTTCAAAAGTCTAAAAAACAAATAAACAAATCTATGAAAACTCAAAAGATATCCGGGAGCGGGTACAATCTCTGAACCATGTATCGTAAAACTCCTTCATATGCTGTAAAGAACTCAAACAGGTTTCGTAATGAAATATAAAACCTCCAGAGTTTTCTATTTAGTCTTGAAGATTTCGTATTAAACTCTACTACGGAACCTTTTTAAGTTCTTTACAGCATAAGAAGGAGTTTTACGATACATGGTTCAGAGATGGTACCCGCTCCCGGATATCTTTTGAGTTTTCGTAGATTTGTTTATTTGTTTTTTAGACTTTTGAAAGCATTTAGAGCATTTTGCAAAATTCTAAACCTTTTTGGAGGGTTTAGCAGGGGTCCTTTTTTTAGCGTGTATGTCATTGGATAGACTTTGACTTAATTTACGCTTGTTGCGTTGACTGTTTCACGAAACTCCGTACTTCGGATAGCACCAACAGCTTTTTTTCTGGTTCCCAGAAAGCTCTCATATATTTTGCATTGCATGATGGGATTGGGACAGCAGTAGAGCGAAAGAAATTTGAAAGAAAGTCTACTTGTCGCGGTCAGTACTCATTCAAATCTGGTTATTTTCTCATGAAAAGCACATGGCTCGGTAAAGAAATGTTCGCTCTAGTCCGCAATGTAATACTCTGTTGGGACAGGCACGGTAGCAGAGGTAGAACACTTTTAGTGGAAAAGACTGAAGAAAGTGATGAAATTCGGGCTAACTTCTCTACTACGAGTGTAAATTACCAATATTCGAGTACCATTAAGAATAATGAAAACCATAAACTTACGGATATCACAGTATTTTCCACTCCACCAAAACTTGCAGTCACAAGGCGATTCATCAGCCAAGTCTTCCCTGCAATAACCGTATCGACCACAATGGTTGAATTTCAAACAATCATCGTAAGATGTACGCTGCTGAGATTTGAAAACTAAAACAAAAATGTTCTGTGTCATGCACATGTACGCATATCATCGAATTACATATTAGTTGTTCCGTAGAATTCGTGCTCGACACTACCCATCTGCATTTCACAGCTCTGAATGTTTTGTTGGGTACTGAAACGAATGTGTGCAATCGCTACCTGTGTACGTTACAGACAGAGAAACATACTGAACCCAGGCTAAGCCTCTAATGAAGCGAAAATATGAAGTGGATTGGTAAAATACTTACACATGGTCTACGGCATTTTTAAACTGAGTTTATGAATTCGAGACTTCTTAGCGCTGGAATTAGATCCTTTTAGAAAATATCTTGCCGTTTGTAACCTATTCACATGTTTCTTGGAGGTTTTTCCACATAGATTTCGTGTTTCGACCGCTCTATAGTCTATATCGTAAAGTTTATTGATCAGCTTGCTGCGATCTTTTGAGTTAAAAAGGTTTCTGGTTTCCCTTCAGCCCTAATGTGTTTCATTCGATAGTTTCTTAACAATGCGGAAGGTTTATATTCTAATATTATAATGCAGATACATGATACGACAAGTGGAGGATTTGTACTGAAACACATTGTGCCTGACATGACACTTCGAAATGTAAAAAGTTTTACTTTCATAGAGTAGACTTACGCCACCTACCGCGCAAAATCAACGATTGTCCGTCTGAACAATTCTTACTGTTCATCTTATTTTCCATCTCTCCGCCACTTCTGCTTCACGTAAGGTAGTTCATGATTAACAGTTCCATTGTCTTCATCTTTGCCCATTTTTATACTTTCCACATTCTTCTCTCCCGTCACATTCAAAACAGCGTTTTAGTTAAGGCTTACCCTTGCGGAACACCCGTTTCCCCTAAACACTCACATCATGAAACTATCTATTTTCTCTTTCTCTTGCTTCGATAAACAAAGTAATGAAAAGCTGCAACTACATGAGAGAATACGTCGGTAAGTGCTCATCTTCTCTCTCTCTCTGACTAACATCTCTCTTCTTCAAGATCCATAGGTGCCAGTTGATCTTGATCTGCCTGAACCATGGATTATAAGTGTAACGATAATGATATCGTTCATCTCTTTCTATTCTTTATTCTCTCACCTCTATATCATACTATCTCCGGATCATATCTCTCTTTCCTCTTCTCTATATAAGCGCGTGTCTTATTGTGAAAGAGATACATTCTGGTCATGTAGAGTAGTCAATAAACATCGATACCGTGAGAAGCGGTCAGCTACTCAATCAGTTTGTCGTTACAACACTCATTTAAATAAAATCTCTTTCGTACCTCTTCAACCCAATAAATTTTCAAATAAACTTTGTTAGTAAAACTCAGCGTTAAACCACAGTTAAAAACTCTCTCAATTTTCTCTGGAGCCTGTTCGTTCAGTCTCAATTTCATCGCTTAGAAAGGCATCAATTTGAACATTCCACTTCATCNTCTATATCATACTATCTCCGGATCATATCTCTCTTTCCTCTTCTCTATATAAGCGCGTGTCTTATTGTGAAAGAGATACATTCTGGTCATGTAGAGTAGTCAATAAACATCGATACCGTGAGAAGCGGTCAGCTACTCAACCAGTTTGTCGTTACAATAAGTGAAAGTCCGTATGAGTTACTGGACCGAGAAAAGTGTAGAAACGAATATAAGATAAGAGGAAAAAGCGTTCGACAGAGGTTCAAGACGGTGCAACTAGTGGAGGGCCTTTTAGGGGCTTTAAAGCGTATTAAGCGGCATAATAAATGGTTTGAAGAATCTTTTAAAAGCATATAGGAATGGGATCATATTAGTTTTTTTAGAGACATTCTTCTGTTTTCATAAACGTTTACTAGGATTGCTTAGCATTGGCACTTTCTGATACGGTTGTTCGTTTTTGTCCCACGCTTCTCTTAACAGTCAACACCTATTAAAAGCCTCTCATTTTTAAAGAATCTTTTAGAGTTTACTAGGAATCTTTTCTAGAGTTTTTAAGATAAGAACGTAGAAAATACAAGATTTTGAGTTTAAAATGTGTCATATTCATGTCTGCTAGTATCGAAATCTGGCAAACTTCTTGAATAACCTTCAAAAACCTTGTCAAATTCTGAAAAGCCTATTAAATCTTCTGAAAAAATTAAGTAATCAGAGTTTTTGCACAACCATAGGACCTAATAGAAGTCCTATCCGAAAATTTTAGGCGCTCGCCTTGATAGAAGTCCCTAGGCTTCTATTTCGTCGATGGCTTTACAAAATAACCCTTTAAAAATGTTAAAATAGCCATAACCATGAAAATTTGACACAATTGCGAATAAATTACTCGCTTCTAAATGTTTCGGTTCAAAATTTACCTCGAAGATTCAAAGGTAGAACTTTAAGTACACAGAAAAATCAGTATTCTTTGATTTCGATCACACATAATCTTAAACGAATTCGACACTAGTCATAAGCGAATTTTGTACTCACAATCTTTTGCTATCAGATCCGCTTTAGTTACGTTTAAAGTGACGAATAAATCCGTTTTATGCATAGTCAATCTTCACCAAATACACTTTTCTTTTTGTCAACCAGAAAAGATTGCAGGAACTCCGTCTACAAGTAATACTTGAAATCATTCGTCATAAACAAAAAAAACGCATGACTTTTGTCTTTTTTCTTTTGAAGACGCACGCCTCGACATATTCAGGGAAGTCAAACTTGGTGCCGTTTTCATTTCAACATTAATCTGAGAAAGGGAGAATGAAAAAGGAAACATATATGTTATATTTATTTGTAATCGTTCACAGTTGTGTATGCATATCTTTTATTTGATTGAGAAAGGAGAGAAATCACCCATTGCAATTGTCGACATAATGAAACAATGGAGGATCGTTCAAAGATGTGATCTTATGACTGTAATGGAGCCATATTAATATCACGATACCTTGCAGAAAGCTATGGGTTGCAAAAATTAAAAGTATCTTGACAGATGATATCACACCCCCACCCAACCCTCAAGTGACTTTCTATGAGGATCTGGGCTCATAATAACACTGAACTATTGGGCTTCGGACGTGAGGGACCAAATTGACTTTTTCCAATTTTTTTACCTGTTCTTACGGCCGGATGATACTTAAAGGTGACATTTGACTTGTTAGACGATAGCTCATGACTCAAAGACTTTTCTTAATAGTGATTAAGATAGCCCATTTAGTAATAAAACTTTTAATATGGAAAGCTCATGCATCGTATGTCCGGGCGTTATTAGAAAAATCATAACTATGAGTATGTGTCCTTTCCACATTGCTTCGAATTTATGAAGCTATGTTCGAAAAGCAAAGTAACGGGTGTGCCATAAAGAATAGCCCTCCTAGTACTTTGTATTTTTCTCATCTATAATTCAAGTAAGAAAAAATTAGTTTTTCTATAGAAAGTCCTTGTCAAATCATCTACAAAATGGTTATAAAACATTTTCTCAGAAACCTAAAAGAGACAGCTAGGTAAAGTTTATTTTACATATGTGAAATCTTCTACTTTCAAAGCTAACGGCTGTTCTTTCAACAGAGGTGTTGCAGTTTATATCGGTTACTTGGAAACCAAGATATATTAGAAGATGTAACGTGAAAAGTTCTACAAGGTACGATAAAAATCTTCGTTACTATATGTGTTCTTCTTTCAAAATAGACGATATTTCGTTCCATAAATTGTGACCGCTTTTGTATGTATTTTGGTCGACTATCAATTTTTTTTCTTATTTCCCTTATCGATCACCTAATACAGTTGATTAAAAGACTGCAGAATGTATCACAAGATGCAATGTTAGATGCTCTAGAATTAGTAATGAACAGTCTGTCTAATGTTTGTCCCTAAACTAATCAGAGTTCAATTCACGCAAAAAACGATTTGGTTTGTAGAATCAGAAATATGTAATATGTGATTCTATTCAATTTTCACAATAAAATGTGAATTTATACAATCAAATTCTCAGCCTGGTTTGTAGAGCTTTTCATGCTGCATCTTAGCATCTGCTCTGATTCTAAAATAAACGCTAGAAGCAATAATAAAATTTACAAATATAATTCGTTCATAAGGCATGTACTAGCCTTGAAAGTAGAAGATTTCACATCTGTAAAATAAACTTTACCTAGCTTTCTCTTTTAGATTTCTAAGAAAATATGTTTTATAACCATCTTGTAGAGAATTTGACGAGGACTTTCTATAAAAAACTAATATTTTCTAACTTGAATTATAGGTGAGAAAAATACAAAATACTGGGATAGTCATTCTTTATGGTACGCCTGTTATATTAATCTTTGATAAAAGGCAAATAAATTGTGACATGTATGCTCCTAATTGCCGTAGCGTTATAATGGTTTTTGCTATCAACTAGAAAGAATTTATAAACCAAACAATCATCCGATAGTACCAAAAGGTACCATCCGGTGGTAAAGAGTTAAGGAAGAGTATGAAGATATAGACGAGGGTTAGGAGAAGCATCGTTTCAAATCAACAAAAGTATTCAAATAGACACTAGATTGAACTACAGAATTGACCTTACTATTTGAATGGAATGAAGTGTTCATTTAATAATATTTGAATGAGAATTCCATTATATTGAATATGATGATGCCAGATTCCCTATTGAACATTCATAGCCATTGACGAAATGCATGAAGGTAGAGTGCTGCTTAGAAAAGTATAAAAATCCTGTCTGATGATTGTTTTCCTAGCTTTATTAAAACTTTTATCATTGTTGAACTATTTTATCTATAAATGAGAGACATATATATATATATATATATATATATATATATAAATGATTATATATGACATTGACAAACAGTAAAATATTAAAATAGATATGTTTTGTTCAATTCTATGTAACAACTCTTATTTAACATGATACAGAGTTGGAAAAAATGTTTAGATAGGGGGGTACTACCATATTTCCAAATAGACTTAATAATGAATTTGATACCAAATGAAAGCCCGTGAAAATGGGATTTATTGGCACTAAACAATAAGAATTATCGAAAGTTTCGTATGCTGAAACTATTGAAACTGCGTAAATTCTACGGATGATATATATGAGAAAAATTATTAATGAGACAAAATTCTAATTGAATCTGATACAAAGTTCTGTATTCTTTATTGTTGAATGAAAATAATCAGTAATCAGTGTGACGACCATTAGGTTCCTTCACTGCACGTACTCGAGACGCGTACGAACACAGAAGAGTTTCAAATGAATCTGTGTCGGTTTCCATGTTTTTCAATACATCTGAGATGTGCATTTTTAGTGTTCCTTCAAGGTAACGAGAATGCCGAGGTTCTAACAACATTTTTTTCTCAATTTCATCCTTGATTATTGTTCCAATATGTTCTACTACATTGAGATCAGGTGAATTTCCAGGTCAAATATCATTACTCCAAAATTTAATATTATTATTTTGAAGCAAATGTTGCATCGGATATGCTCGCATACGTGGTGCTTTGTCATGAACAAATATAACTTCATCGGGATCGATCACATTTTCTTCATTTTTTAAGAATGAAAAAACGTGTTCAGTCAAAATTATATCAAGAAAATATTGACCAGTCCACGATTCACCTTTATCTTTGATCACCCAATGTGACTTCTTAGCAGTAAACATCACAAAAATTCCAATGCATGCTTGATTTCTAACCATTTCACGATAATGTTCATCTTCTTCGATGTCGTCCACACTTTTTGCCCAAATTCGGTCGTTCTGATGATTTGGCCGAGGAATAGCCCAGACAAAAAGCTCATCAGATGGTGCGAGATGAAGAAAATCCTCTTCAGTCCAATCTTTTAACCAATCACAAAACCATAATCGATCTGATATGTGAGTTTCAGATTTAAGTGGTTTTGCAATAACATGAAATTGTTTCAATCTTTCTCTGTGGCGATAATTATTAGTTGTTCTTCGAGTGACATTCCTTTTGTTTTTCTGCAATTTCCTTCGCCACAACAGAACAACGTTTTCTTTGTTGGTCACTCGCCTTCAGGATGATGTCTTGACTTGCTTCTGATAATTTGAGCTTTCGACCACCATTTAAATAATCAGCAAAACATTGATCATAAGTTTTTTGCTACCAGTCGGTGACAAATTGAACCGAAAGATGAACTTTTTCTGCAACCTAATGTCGACTAATGAACGTTGCACCAATATCTCGAGCTTCACGAAAAGCAATGCATTTTGATTCTATCGATAATTCTTTGCTCTTCATTATCGTAAGTACCAGCCATTTTAGAAGGATTCGATTAAACTAATATACCGAACGGATAGATTTTTTTATGAAGGATACAACTTAGAGAATGACCTTATATATACGTAACTTAATAAACATCTCGAACTTTCTTGTTCTCTAACTTTTCAGCAAAGAAAATTAAAATATCATTTTCTTCACCGTCATCAAAAGTGATAGACAACAGAACGCAACAGGGAAGCTATACCTTCTGAGTCATGGTAAGGTCTTATAATAACTAGAATAGCGCTCCTTTGAATACTCTAGAAAAACATCTTTTTTTTCTTCGTCTTACAGCCTCCAGCGATAAATCAAAATGGTTGTATTATGCAGAATTTCCAAAGTTTCAATATTTTCAGCATACGAAACTTTCGATAATTCTTATTGTTTAGTGCCAATAAATCCCATTTTCACGGGCTTTCATTTGGTATCAAATTCATTATTAAGTCTATTTGGAAATATGGTAGTACCCCCCTATCTAAACANAAAAATGGGGTTTATTGGTACTAAACAATAAGGATTATCGAAACTTTCGTATGCTGAAACTATTGAAACTTTGGAAATTCTACGAATAATGAATATGAGAAAAATATTTAATGAGACAAAACTCGAATTATATCTGATACAAAGTTCTGTATTTATTATTGTTGAATAAAAACAATCAGTAATCAGTGTGACGACCGTTAGCTTCCTTTACTGCACGTAGTCGAGACGTGTACGAACACAGAAGAGTTTCAAATAAATCTGTGTCGGTTTCCATGTTTTTCAATACATCTGAGATGTGCATTTTGAGTGTTTCTTCAAGATAACGAGAATGCCGAGGTTCCGACAACATTTTTTTTCTCAACTTCATTCTTGATTATTGTTCCAATATGTTTGGCTACATTGAGATCAGGTGAATTTCCAGGCCAAATATCATTACCCCAAAATTTAATATTATTATTTTGAAGCAAATGTTGCGTCGGATATGCTCGCATACACGGTACTTTGTCATGGACAAATCTAACTTCATCGGGATCGATCACATTTTCTTCATTTTTTAAGAATCGAAAAACGTGTTCAGTCAAAATTATATATGATTCGATACACTTATCAGCTAAATATAAACTCAAGAAGGATACGTCACTTCGAGTGAATTCCTTGTTAGATGGATGTAAGGGTTTCAAAACTGCGTATGAATACAAGAGCAGGGAAGTATCAGTAAATAAAACAAAGTTTAAATTTAAAAAAACTGAGGGTGTACACTGTACACTCTGCTTAATCAGGCAGGTATGTACTAATTTCCGACTCCAATTCTAGAATCGGGATTGAGCGGGGACGGTTGCATGCCCACTTCATATAGAAAATCTTATGACCAGTTTATTATCGTTATGGCTGTATCGGAAGGTCCAAGCTCATCTATAAGCTGATCAGGTCTACGACATCCACCCTCACCCTCACCCTCAAGATGGTTGTCGAGACATGTGGTTACACGTGTTGGCCACAAAATCCAATTCTCCATCAACTTACTGGTAGGAGGTGTCTATAGACATATTGAGAATAGCGATATTCTATACTTGAAACAAACGAACTGTTTCATCACGACCATTGCTTTTCTATTCTAACCAGAAAGCAAATAGAACGGAAAACCATGACTATTATTTATGTAATCAGGAGATAAAGAAACGAAAAAGAATGAATAAATAATGGTTCGATATCGACATAAGAATATGACGCACTTCGAGTGTGAAAGAGAAGGTGTAGCGGACGCTATAACGTCCAAAAGCACTCTCAAGGTTATCAGATAATACTGTGAGTCATTTGTTATTGTCAACAAACCCTCAACTTCAGTATATTATTGACTAGCAGATTCTTTTCTATTTAAACAGAACAGTAAAACCACGTTTTCCCGCAATCTACAAATTGTTATCACGATGTGTCGAATGAAATTTGAATTCTTACCAAATGAAATCTTATTCCAATGTCTTCAGCATATTAGCATCCTGGATATTTTTCATTCATTTGATCAGTTAAATCATCGTTTCAATACTCTCATACGAAAGATTCCATTCAGTTTAAATCTTGAAAACATTCAAAATAAGTCTCGATGTGACCAGTTTTGTATGAAAATGTCCACTGATTCAACAATCAAAAATCAACTTTATTCTTTACATTTATCCAATGAAAATACCTGTTATCCGATTCATTTGTTTCTCTCAAAATTTTCATTTCTGGACTTCCCTCATCTTCGTTTGCTAACGTTACACGGACTAACAGATGATAATTTGAGAGCGATTCGCTCATGTCAAATAATTATAAGGGAACCAAACTGAATGATCAATCAAAATAACACTTATATTCGTGTTTTTAGAGGTGTTGATAAAATAATTTATTACGCTGCTTTAGCATCTATATTAAGATCAAAAAGCCGATGGAAGTAACTATCTGTATCAAATAATTAGAGTGAAATAAATACCAATAAAAAACGAACACAATTTCGATTCACTGAGAACACACTATATAACACAAGGAGGAATGTTCTTGCGATACAGCTTTAAAGCAGTAAGTGCCTATCGTATATTTTCTAAATATCCAGTCAGAGATTTATAACCATGATTCCCTTAACTGCATGAAAGATCATCATAAAAAATATATTGAGTGTCCGTCTATATCAAGGTCAAATGACCGCAAATTATGTTGTGTCATCAAATCAGTGTAATACACAGACAACTAGTTACAAGTAGCGCTCGCCGTGCTGACTCACTTAACCCTCGACTGTGAAGGACAGATATTTTTTCGTGTCCTAATTGTGAGACAAATTGTTCTAACAATTTTATACACGAAAAAAACAATTCAAATGTTTTGCGCAGATATATTTAGTAACTTTCGAAAACAAAAGTCTCAATTTTTCCTACTCTTTTTGGAGACACATATAAAAACCTCAATTTTATGCTACCAATGTAATTAAGGAGAAAGAAACGATGGCGCAATACAATAAGCACCAGAGCCACTTCAATCGAACAACAACACAACCATACACAAGAGTCAAAAATATAGAACGTCAAACATCAATTTTACTCTGCTCTAAGTCAATGTCACTTTCCAGGCATCCTCACTCTCATCTACATACTTCAGCCGACCCGCTTCACTACCAAGAGACCACTCGCCATTCCATCCAGAAACAGGCAACTCCGCGAACACGCGACTCGAATAAACACTCAACTACAAAAGAATATTTTTAACATTAATCCAAATTTACTACGAATACTAATCATAATCATCACTTACTCGCAGAAGTTTTATTTCTTTGTCTTTGTCAAATTCCCATATATTTAATAGGTTTAACTCAATGGATTAGGATTACATTTGTCACATGTGATTTTGGCTAATGTATCTTTTGATATCTCTATTTTTCCCTTTCGGTGCATTTAGATACGGTAATACATACGATTGCTTGTAATCCTTTTATTACTCCAAAGATCAGTTGCAGCTGAATACAAGTTGGAACATCCCAACCCCACATCAGCTTCATATTCCATTATAAACAAATCTACAAAACTGAACACCAAACCTACATAAAATCCTCAACTCAGGGAACAGAGCCGCCGATCACCGATTCCAATCACCCACCCCAGAAGAGCCAATCGACGACTCCCCACACACGCTCTTCCATCCACCAACGTGTTCACCCAAGATCCGCAGCCACGCCCATACAGCCACCCATGGCNTACGAGTGTCTTGATCTGAAATTCGGATTCATTTAGAAAGAAACGTGGGTGTGTGTGAAATTCCCAACTTGAGTTCAATTATTGAACTAACACTTCGAGCATTCAGCTATTTTTGCTGGACGGATCTCCCGTAGCGTCTTCAAATTACATTGTGCCTACGGCCCGAACCTTCCTTCAGTGTCGTCCATCCTATGGTCCTGTCCTGCGCATACTCACCGTCACTGTATACACCCACTGTGGTATCCACATTATGTGATAGTCGATATTTCCATTGGTTCAATAAACAAGTGACTTTCGTCGAAGTTCATCGTGAAATTCAGAAATGGTACGGCTTAAGTGATACAGGGTCCAAGCGGATTGTATGTTGGCTTGTGATTGATGAACACGAGCGTTGGGGAAGTTATTGGTCGAAAGCGGTACAACGATCAAAAGCAGTCGTTGAATGCTGAACAAGACCGAACTTTTCATGATTATATCGATCGGAATGGATTGAGCGGCAATAGTGGTGGTGGTGGCGGTGTCATTTACTCATGCATGTGCAGCTAAGGTTAGCCTGATCACGCTTGTCTGTTCGAAAAAAAAACGATTTTCTTGAATTCCTTGGTATAGACAAGTAGCGTTCGCCGTACCGACTCACTTAACCCTCGACTGTGGAGGACAGATATTTTCTCGTGTCCCAATTGTGAGACAAATGCATCTAACAATTTCATAAGCGAAGAAACAATTCAAATGTTTTTGCGCAGATATATTTAGTCACTTTCGAAAACAAAATACTGAGTTTTTCCTACTCTTTTTGGAGGGCATATAAAAACCCCAATTTTATACTATCAATGCAATATACAATAAGAAGAAAGAAACGATGAAGCAATACAATAAGCGCTAGGGCCACTTCAATCGAACAACATGACAACCATACATAATATATCAAATACGCCACGAAACATACACAAAAGTCAAAAATATAGAATGTCAATCATCAATCTCAGTCTACTCTAAGTCAATATCTCTTTCCAGGCATCCTCACCCACATCTACATACTTCAGCCTATCCACTTCACTACCACGAGACCACTCGCCATTCCATCCAGAAATCGGCAACTCCGCGAACAAGCAACTCTAATTCCGATTTATCAATCCATCTGGAACAAACGCTCAACTACAAAAGAAAATTTTTAACATTCACCCAAATTTACTACGAACACCAACAATAATCATCAATTACTTGGAAAAGTTTCATTTCTTTGTCTTTCCATAGTTTCCATTAGATTTAATAGGTTTAATTCAAAGGATTAGGATCACATTCGACACATGTGAATTCAGCTAATGCATCTTTGGATATCTCTATTTTTCGCCCTCACTGCATTTAGCTACGATACTACGTACGATTATTTGTCTTTCTTTTATTACTCCTAACACCAGTTACAGTTGAATCAAAGTTGGAACACCCTAGCCATTCCAACTGCGTTCTAACACCACGCCTAGCTATCCTAATCCGACATCAACTTCCTATTACATCATACACAAATCAACACGACATAAACATTAAACCTCACTGAAATCCTCAACTCAGGGAACAGAGCCGCCGATCACCGACTCGAATCACTCATGTCCACACACTCACCACTCAAGAATCATGGAAGACCTCCCACCCACGCGCATACGCCTACCCATCGTTTCACCCAAGGTCCCCACCCACGCTCATACATCCATCCATGGTTTCACTCCCCCTCCCTCCTTCGGCCTCCATCCGCACTCGTTCGAGCCTCAGCATCCTAGAAGTTTTCAATGTGTTGGATGATTTTAGAAAAATTTTTTTTGACCTTTGACCCTGACGCAAACAAACAAACAAACAATTTTTTTTATATGACCCTCCCTACAGTCGAGGGAATAAAACTTTAATGATTTGATATAGGGAAAATAATAACTATCATAATTGTTAAATATTCTATACTCTTAAATCTGTTCATATTATTGACTAATTCATTCTGATACGTTTTCTTATTCGAATCCAATAATTCAAGTTGAAATGTATTCGACGGATATGGAATTGTTCCTTCTACTGAAAGGAGGGTAACACGTTGAGCTGATATCACTGAAAAAACGAGTTGATGTGTGTTCGTTCGTTCATTTTGCCTTAAAATATTACCTAACACTAGTTGATAGCAGTAAGGGTTGACCGAAGGATAATCGAGGTCGGGGAACTCAAATCGGAGGTTAGCCTTGACTAGTTATTAATTTTTTGCTAATTATTTATTGATTGACAAGAAATTATTAATATTTATTAGGGGTGGACCATTTAATTTAATTCTACTTAATTAACGGCCGTTAATTAACGGGTTGCACTTAACCGTTAATTTCCACTTAATTAACTGATAAATGGTTAAATAATCATAATGTATGATCCTTTCTGACAACTAATTATCTATACGATCCAGCAATAATTACATGTACCCTGGTAAGATACTCATCTC